AAAAAGGATTATATCAGGACCCTGACCAGGTTACCATTGTTGTTTAATCTGGAATAATTTAGAAAACAAGATGTGGTTGTGGGTGTGAACAGATGTTCTACTTGTATTAACTGACAAGAACAGTCACTGATATACTCTCTTGTTGGCTTTTTGTTGCGACGCTCCTCAGTTTTAGCTGCAAAAGTTGACTGGGTCCTTGTATCAAGATCCGTATCAGATCTTGTCTAAAATTTAATAAAATCTTGAGAGAACCCCTGTTAGGATCCTAAGCAGGATCATGAATGAATCCTTGAAGGATCTTGTATTCATTATCTACAAACACATCTGGCCAGATACGGAAAGAAATCCTAAACAGGATCCTGTATAACTGTGAGAAATCCTGGCAGCAGGAATTATCAGGAATTGAGCCTGGATCTTGAGGAAAACTTGATAAGATCTTGAAGATTTAGAATCCTGACAGATCCTTGCAAAATTTCTCAAGGAATGAACAGGATTGAGACTAGGGTTCTGTTTGCTATTAAAAGTGATGATCGGAGGAGGGTAGCTTCGCGGAAGTGTCCGTACTTCCCCTCAGGAGTTTCCAAAATCACGAATACTAGAAACTTCCCAATTGTTCATAAAAACTGATGACCGGGTGGGAGACGGTAGCTTCGCGAAGGCCCCCCTACTCCCCCTCAGGGATTTCCAAAATTTCGAAAAAGTTCCCGTGACTGACCGTGACCAAGCTCCAGTCACGGTCACGCCGGGCACTAATCAAGACCAATAGGCCTGCCCTATAGTGTTATAGCCGATTTACTGAAATTCTCCTCCCCCGATAGAGCTATGTATGGCTATAACGTTGTAGAAAAGGTCTATGTGTTTTTATCCTTTTGAGATTCTCCATATCACATTACGTTCTACTTTATACATAGAGTCCGAACTCAAAAAACGATTTTCAAGTTGGAGAGGATCCCTCGTCGAAACTCTTCCAATATAATCACTATCAGTGTTTGTGTGTTGGGATCTATTTGTAGATCTAATCGATATGTACAACAAGGCAAATTAGTATAATGAAATTAAAGAACACATTTTAATTTCACGTTCTAGCTCCAAATATGTTGACAAGCATTTTGTTTTTTTTATTTCTTAGTTCAACAAAATCAATATTAAGTTCAACAATAAGTATGGCAGCACATAGTTCTTTATTATCAACTGAACGTTCGGGTACAACAAAAGCATTTATTCTTCATTATATATTTTCTCAATATCCAGAATCATTACTTAATGAAATTGTTTATCGTTTAATGCATACAGATGCTGTTATAACATTAACAAAATCAAATGATATACAACGAAAAATTTCTAGTGAAGCATCAACATTTTTAGCTGGTCGAGCTTATCATATAAATCAACGATATATTTATCGTTGGTATACATATATGCCAGCTATTGTTCTACATGAAACATATTCATGGATAAATGAAAATATTTTATCAAAAATTGATATTAATAATATAAAAGATAATATAATAATACCAATTGATATTGAACAACAAAATAATGTTGCTATAGCTGCATCATTTATAACATTTTTTGATTCAAATTATTTTGATATTAATTTAGCATTACCAAAAAGTCTTGATAATGAACCTGAAATGATAATGACAAAAATAAATAAAAATGATGATGATGATGATGATGATGGAACAAATACAGATGATGATGATAATGATGATAATGAACATGAAAGAGTTTTTCAACAAGTTCTTCAAAGTGCAAGACGTATTGATCAAACACGTTATGAAAGTATTAATAAAAGAAAACTTTCAACAGATAATGAAAATAATACAAATAAAAAATCAAAAGTAAATTTTATATTCTTGTCTGATTAATTACTATAATATTTAATATATATATAAAACACATAAGATTTGTTTTAATCAAATCAGGTTAAAGTTAATAAGTTCACTTTGAAAACATTGTAAAATGAAAGTATTTCAGCAGTATTCAACTAAGTTGATGTCAATTCATTAAGATCTCGTCCTTTTCGTAGACAAAAATTTTTAGAAGTATTAAAACTCGTGGTGTTCAAAAGAACAAATTAACCATTATCCCATTCTACTCTGAACGCCTAACATCGGCAGAGTCAAGTTTGGATACACAACTCTAGTAGATAGTATAAACCATATGCAGTGGAGTTCTTAAGCTTGGAAAGACTGAACTCAGTCTATGTTTTGCTAAAGACAGCATCCGACATTATAACAGAAGACTGAATAAATAGAGTTTTTTTTGTCATGAAGAAATTAAAAATTTGAGCACTGTCGGTGACAATCACTATCACAAATTCTAAGTTAAGCTTACACTTATGTTGAACAATAGCACAAAAGATGAGTGTACAGACAATATTCAGAAATTCATTTTTCGACTAGTGTCTTACAAAATATCAGGAACTTTGGCTAGCTAGATTAAGAAATCGTTAATGAACTACAATCTATTTGTTGAACAGCAGACGAAAACTTTGTTGAACAATTCTTAGCTCTTTCAAGACTAAGGTAGTCATATTGTTTGTCGAAAAATGATCAAGGTATAATTGACATTTTAGTTTATTGTGTTTGATACTCTAGTGTAAAGGTTC